AGGAGGCATTAACTGAAATAAAGAATAATTTACACAGATTCAATAGTAGAGTATGTAAATCCAAGGAGCAAACTATCGATTTGGAATATAAGGAAGCAAAAAACGCCCAATCAGAACAGCAAAAAGAAAACAGAATCCAAAAAAATGAGGATAGTGTAAGGAGCCTCTGGGACAACTTCAAGCGTGCCAACATTCGCATCTTGGGGGTGCCAGAAGGAGAAGAGCGAGAACAAGAAATCGAAAACCTGTTTGAAACAATAATGGCAGAAAACTTTCCTAACTTGGTGAAGGAAACAGACATACAAGTCCAGGAAGCACAGAGAGTCCCAAACAAGATGAACCCCAAGAGGCCCACACCAAGACACATTATCATCAAAATGCAAAAGGTTCAAGACAAAGAGAATCATAAAAGCAGCAAGAGAAAGGCAGCTAGTTACCTACAAGGGAGTTCCCATTAGGCTGTCAGCTGATTTCTCAAAAGAAACTTTGCAGGCCAGAAGGGAGTGGCAAGAAATATTCAGAGTGATGAAAAGCAAGAACCTACAACTAAGATTACTCTATCCTGCAAAGCTGTCATTTAGAATCGATGGACATATAAAAACTTTCCCAGACAAGAAAAAGTTAAAGGAGTTCATCACCACCAAACCGTTATTATATGAAATGATGAAGGGTCTTTTTGAAGAAAAAGATAAAATATATGAACAAACAAAATGGCAATGAATACATATCTATCAACAATGAAATCTATAAACAAAATGAACAGGTAGAACAGAAACATTCTCATAGATACAGAGAACGTTTTGTTGGTTGCCAATTGGGAAGGGGGTTGGGGGAATGGGTGAAAAAGGTGAAGAGATTAAGAAGTACAAATTCAGCCCTGGCCGGTTTGGCTCAGCGGTTAGAGCACCCACCTGCGGTCCGGAGAGACCCGGGATCAGTTCCCGCTAAGGGCATGTACCTCGGTTGCAGTTTGTCCCCGGCCCTGGTTGGTCGTGCGGGTGGCAGCCACTCGATGTGTGCCTTTCACATCGATGTTTCCCTCTCTCTCTCTTCCTCTCTCTCCCTCCCACTCTGTCTGTACAAAAAATGCAAAAATGTCCTCGGATGAGGATTAAAAAAAAAAAGAAGTACAAATTCATTGCTAGACTGACAAACCTCAAAGGGAAAGGGGTTGGGGGTGGGGGAGAAATAAACCAAAGAACTTATATGCATAACCAATGGACACAGACAATAGTGTGGGAAAAGGCGGGAGGGAGGCGGGAGGGGGGCGGGAGTGGGGAGGTGGGGTTCAAGGGGGGAAAAATGTGGAACATCTGTAATACATTTTATATCCAACAATAAAGATTAAAAAAAAATTATTATTACATTTTCAAATTGTTATTTTTGATAGATGGGAATGTTCTTGATGTGTAAATATTGATCTAGTGCCCTTGCCAGTGTAGCTTAGTTGGTTGAGCGAATGTCCCATGTACCAAAAGGTTGCTGGTTCCTTTCCTGGTCAGGGTACATGCCCTGGGTTTCAGTAGAAGGCATGCAGAAGGCAGCCAACTGATATTTCTCTCTAGCATCGATGTTTCTCTCTCCCTCTCCCTTCTTCTCTTTCTAAAATCAATAAAAACATCATTTAAAGAAAGTATTGATCTGGTGTCCAGACACTTAGCTGAACTCACCAATTATTACTTTGGGTTTTCCAGGTAAAGAATCACATCATCACAAATAATGGCAATTTGGCCTCTTCCCTTCCAATTTTCATACCTCATGTTTGCTTTTAATTTTTTATTGCATTAATTGTAACTTCCAGTATATTGCTGAAGAGTATTTTGATTCACTTCTGATTGCACTGGTGTATCATTCAAGAAAGGTCAAGGTACCCTGCAGTAACAAACAATCCCCAAATCTAGTGTTAACACAACAAAATTTATTTCTCACTTACACCGCATGTCCAATACAAGCCACGGAGCAGGGAGGAGTTCCTTAGTGTTGCTTCTCGGAGACTCAGGCTGATGGAAGCTGTATGCCTCCATGGACATGTGCTTCTACGATAACTATTGCAGAAGAAAGGGGCAGTTGAATTATGGACTGGCTTTTGGAGCTTCTGCTGTGAAGTAACTCATGTTCTGTCCACTAGCATTTCAAAGCAAGTTCCATGGCCAAGCCAAAGGGGTAGAGAAATGTGATCCTACCATATGCCAGAAGGACAACAGGACCATGGGAATGCTTCTAATGCCCTACCATTGCCCATGATGTAAGTGACATTACACACGCTCTAAGTTTCTAGTAAATAACCTTTTATCAAGTTAAGAAGTAAGTTTATGCCCTGGCCGGTTTGGCTGAGCGGTTAGAGTGTCGGCCTGTGGTCCAGAGAGATCCGGGTTTGGTTCCTGCTAAGGGCATGTATCCCGGTTGCAGTTTGTCCCCGGCCCTGGTTGGTCGTGCGGGTGGCAACTACTCAATGTGTCCCTTTCACATCGATGTTTCTCTCTCTCTCCCTCCTACTCTATCTGAACAAAAAATGGAAAAATGTCCTCAGGTGAGGATAAAAAGTAAAAAATAAAATAAAATAAAAGAAGTAAGTTCATGAGTTTAGATTTTAAGTAAAGAGGTTGTCTGTATCATGCATGAGTGTTAAACTTTTTAATATCTTTATTGATTTTAGAGAGAGAGAAAGGGAAAAGGAGAGAGAAAAAAACCAAACATTCTTGTGAAAGAGAAACATCCATCAGCTGCCTCCTGCACACTCTGTCCTGGGGATGGAGCCCACAACCTGGCAGCCTGGGCATGTACTGACTGGAATCAACCAGTGATCTTTTTGGTGCATGGAACCACACTCAGCCAACTAAATCACACTGTCCAGGGCATGAGTATTAAATTTTATCAAATAATTTTATGTCCGCCCCACCGGTGTGGCTCAGTGGTTGAGTGTCAACCTATACACCAAGGGGTCGCTGGTGCAATTCCCAGTCAGGGCACATGCCCAGGTTGTGGGCCCAATCCCCAGTGGAGAGCATGCAGGAGGCGACCAATCATGTTCTCTCTCATTGATGTTTCTCTCTCTCCCTCTCCCTTCCTCTCTCTCTAAAAATCAATAAAGAAAAAAAAATTTTTAAATAATTTTATGTCTTCTGTTTGATGTGCAGTTGTTATTTTTCTCTCCTAGTCTGTTGAGGCATTTATACATGTTTTTCGCCCAGAACTTTCTTCTCCACTGCCCTTCTTTTGGTTAATTTCTTCTCATTCATTCATTCAGCAGATATTTATTGAGCAAAACTATGTGCCAGATGCTGCTCTAGACACTTGGGGTACTGTACACCAGTGAACAAAGCAGATAGAAGCCCTTGGCCCCACCCTCACCCCAGTGCTGCCCCTCACCCCCACTCCCACCCCCACCCCCGCGCTCAGAGCCGCCTGCGCTTTGACTGTAGGGGCGGGCAGAAGCCGAGAAGGGCACTGATTGGTGGTTTATTCTAACAGCCAGAGGATGAGCTCATCTGCAGCCAGTGGCCCGCTCCACCCAGCCAGAAGCCTGCACCTGGCTGGAGGGCGCAAAGCCAGGGTCCGTGGTGCACGGTCGCCAGCGGAGGTGAAGGAGCGGTGGCGGCACCGTGGCCGCGGGGACCGAGCTCCTGGCTCGGGCAGGTACGGTGTTTGCCCGGCTCCTCACCATCCCCCTCCTTGTCGAGGATGCCCCCTCCTTTCACTCCCCCAGCCCACCTTCCTCAGCCTGACCCCCGCGGGGCGGTGTCCCTAGTGTGCCTGGGACTCATGGCTGGACGCGCCGCGTTCTGTGTCCAGGCGTGGCCATGCGGCTCTGCCCAGCGGGACCCGGGACCCGGGACCGGGACCCTGCCCGGCGCGGTGGCCCCTGAAGCCGGGCCCTGACTCGAACAGCCCAGCCTATCGGCCTTCGCACTCCCAACACAGGCCTTAGGGCTGCACATCCCAGGTGGGGTGGCATGACTAGTTCCTTCCCTCCACCGCCTGGCCGCATCCTGGGCAGGATACGGCTCCCCGCTGGCCCCGGATGTGGGTTTCCCTTCCCGCCCCACTCCCCGTCCTGTTCTCTCCTCCTTTCTTTACCGAGTCAGACGTGGCCTGGAGTTGGAAATGCGGCCCCGCCCCTTCCCGATGGGGCCCGAGAGAGCAAAGGTGCCCCTGCAGATGGACAGAGGCAGCTCTGCAGGCCTCTCTGAGCCCTTTCCTTTGCTGCAACCACTTCTCCGTCCCTTTGGCTGCCTGTGTGTCACACACGCCCAGGAAGGCGCTGCTGTCAGGTCTGTGGAGGCCATGTGGCCTCCTGGCTTCAGAGCCAGAACAGGGCCAGCCCTCTCCGACTGGGTAGGCCCTGCCCTCCTTTCTCTAACTCCGTCCAAATCTGCCACTCAGTCATTTCATTTGCCCACAGGCTTCAAGGCCTGGCTTTGTGCCCAGCAATCTGCTGGTCTCTGGGGGAGGGGGGGTCCTCTCTCCTGACCACACTGACCTCAGCACTAAGGGAAACAAAGCAGGGGCAATCCATGCTGTTTGGAGCTGAATGGTGAGGGATAAAGGAGATTCCTGAAGGGGAGAACAGGCAGGACGGAGGGAACAGTGGGAGGAATGGGCCTTGAGCCCATGGCCTCTGCCTCGGCCTGAGTGTGTGGCCTCCACATGTTTACCGTGTGACAGACCAGTTCACTCCACGCCGCATGAAGGCAGCTCTGGGTCACGGACACCTTCAGCTCTCTCCAGTGCTCAACACATACTAAATACTTGTGGACTGAATTTTAACTGAAGGGAGAAGCCCCTTCACTTTTAACTGAAGGTCACGAGCACAGTCCCAGACCTGATTATTCTATTATCACCACAGGAAAGATTTGGCTCAGTGAAAGGACTTTACCCACATTAGCTCTGATCCCTCCAGCCCTTGGAGGTGAGTGTTAGTCTGAATATTCAGTGGAGGAAATCAGGGGTAAATGGGATGTTGTTCCCAGCTAGTCCTCCCTAATGCATCTGTTCATTCCCAGGTCAGCCCTGCAGGGCAGCAGCCATGAGCCTGGTGGCCTGTGAGTGCCCGCCTGGCCCTGGCCAGGAGCCTGAGCCCTGTTCACGAGCACAGTCCCAGACCCGAATGTACCTGGAGCAGATTCGCAATCGAGTGGCTCTGGGGGCACCTGACATGACCAAGCGTGACTACCTGGTGGACGCAGCCACACAGATCCGGCTGGCCCTGGAGCGCGATGTCAGTGAGGACTATGAGGCAGCCTTCAACCACTACCAGAATGGGGTAGACGTTCTGCTCCGAGGCATGCATGGTGAGAGCTGGCTGGGCTGGGCTTGAAGGGAAGGGCCAATTTGGAGCTCATTCCTTCATCTGTCCATCTGTGCTGGGTGAGCAGGGCCTGCAGGGTTATTGAGCAGTTCCTACATGCCAGGCACTGGTCCAAGGGCTTTTCCTGTATTAACTCATTTGAGCCTCATGGAAATAGAAGATACTATATATATTGGTTTTGGGGTTTTTTGTTTGTTTTTTTTTTCTTTGACTTTAGAGAGAGAGGGAGAGAGAGATAGAAACATCAATGAGAAAGAACATCAATTGGCCACCTCCTGCATGCCCCCCAGTGGGCATTGGCCCACAACTTGGGCATGTGTCCTGACCGGGAATTGAACCAGTGACCTCTTGGTACAAGGGTCAACGCTCAACCACTGAGCCACACCAGTGGGACATTATATATGTTGTTGCATGTAGCTCCAAGTATACAGGAAATATTTTTGTTCCTATATTCCAGATGAGGAAACTGAGGCACAGGGCAGTTACATAGTTTGCTTAAGGTTCCATAGCCATCAGTGGCAAAGCTAGGATTTGAACAGCTGAGGCTCCAGAGGTGTTATGCTTAACTCACAATGCTGGCCTGGCCCTGGGGCTGGGCCCCAGCCCTCTGAGGGTTTGCATATAACTGGGGGAGACTGAGGAGTCGATGATGGACAATTATAATCCCAGGTATGAAGAGCGATGAGGAGGAAGTGAAGGGAGGGAAAGTGAGGCCAGGCCAGGCCAGCGTAGGGGATTCTCTAGAAGTCCAAACTCGAATCCCAGCACTGCAGGCAGGAGGGGCGCTGTCCAGCCGAAAGGTCAGGCAGTGCTCCAGAGCACAGCAAGGCCTGGAGGTGAGAACAGAGGCCTGCCCGGCACAGTAAGGCTTTTCCAGCCCGGGGGAGAGGCTAGCTCTGAGGCCATTCTGAGACCCCGAGGGCCTTGGGGGCCAGGCTGGGGTCGGGGTCGAGCCCTGACCCGTGCTTCCTGCCCTCCTGCTGATGGAACCTCTCCATGCCTCGGCTTCCGGCCTGTCTAGCGAATTCCTTTGTCCTCCAGTCCTCATCCCCACTCTGGCCTCTTTCACACTGAGCATCAGAGGTAAAGGGAGCCGTGTTCTCTGGGAGCTTCTGTCTCCTCCTCTGAACATGGGTACTCTGTCCCTGCCCGGGTGTGATGGTGGCCAGCGAGGTGGTGGTGCCAACTGTAAAGTGCTGTAGGCTGAGGGTGACTGCAGCTCCCAACCTCTCCTGCCATCTTCCTTTCTCCTCCCCACTGGTCTGCCACCCAGAGGAGGGGCTCAAGGACGGATGTGGGGTCAGAATCTGCTGACCAGCCTCAGAAACAGGCACTCTGTCCTCTGAAGGGCAGAGGGCAGGCAGCGGGAGCTGGAACCACAGCCCTCCAAGGCCAGGGTTGGGGGCAGGGGTGAGTTCTGGTGACTCCCCTCCCCCCACAGTTGACCCCAACAAGGAACGATGCGAGGCTGTAAAGCTGAAAATCACCAAGTACCTGCGGCGGGCGGAGGAGATCTTCAACTGCCACCTGCAGAGGACACTGGGCAGTGGAGCCAGCCCTGGCACGGTGAGAAAACCCCTCCCCAAGGGCCTGAGGGCAGAGAGCTGAGCCCCCACCCTGGGGCCAGTAGGCTGTGACCTGGAATTCTGGGCTGCAGGCACGGCTAGCATCTCCCATCCTCCTTCTGGCTTCCTCTCTCCCACACACAGTTCACTCGTTTTCAAACACTTAGTGAGTGATCTCCAGCCCAGTCTCGCCCTCACAGAGTGCACACACATGGCTCACACGTACTCCAAGGCTCCCAGGTCTGTTGGTGTTTGAATGGGCCTCAGTGAGGATTTGGAGCAGACACGAATACCCCTATGTGCACACACACACACACATACACAGATGTGCACAGATGCTCTTCCCATGTGGCTTCTCCTAACCCCGTGGGCACTCAGGGGGTTGAAAATGCACGTACACTTCTCATGCCCAAAGGCGTGCGCAGACATGCACACGCACCCCTCCTGGGCTCACCCTTCCCCGAAGTGGGGTGCCGAGGCCGCATGCCTTGGTCTCTGAGGCATGGTCCCTGAGGTCCACGTGTTCCCAGGTTATTTCCCCACCCCTGGGAGCATCTGCCTCCTGTAGACGAGACTTTCAAGAGGTGATTTCTGAAGCCTTAAGAACTCCCTGAGCCTTGGAGAAGGGCTGGGTGGGGGCTGAGCGAAGAGGTCAGTGTGGCCAGGCTGGACCAGTGCGCCCTGCCCCCAGTCAGGGCCAGCATCTCTGCTCAGCCTCTTTGTGAGGTGAGAGTGGACCGTACCCCATTCTTGCCTGCTCCCCTGCTCCCCTGGCAGCTGGAGGCCCTGCCCACTGCCCGGTGAGAAGCAGTAGCTGAGGAGAGCTGAGCCTGAGGTTGTGTGGCCTGTCTCCCCCTCTGCAGGGTTTCAGCAGCCTGAGGCTCCGGCCCATCCGCACACTGAGCTCTGCCCTGGAGCAGCTGAGGGGCTGCAGGGTGGTCGGGGTCATCGAGAAGGTGAGTAAGCAGAGCCTGCAGTGTGGGAGGAGATGGTGTGTGCGACTGGGGGTGACGGGTGGGCAGAGACAGCAGCTACCCCCAGTCTTTCGGAGGCAGGGCTCCCCATCCCTCCCTACCCCACCACACACCAGTCAGGTCCTGGAAAGGAAACCGGGAGCCCGAGAGGCAGACAGTGACTTTCCACGGCCCTCCAGCTCAGACACAGAAAACTGCTCCCTCACAGATTTAAGACAGAAGCCACAAGAGAAGCTGTGCCCAGGGCATGTTGCCAGCACACACTGCCTCCCGCTTCTCACAGGTCCCCACCCCACACCCACTCTGCACCCCGGGCTGCAGCCAAGAGTCTCTCCACCAAGCACAGCCAAGAAGTTCCTGGGGCAGGAAGATGCTCGCCACCTGCCTGCAGTGTCCTAACTGGCCTGTGCTCATCCAGGGCCAGCTATGCCCTTTTTCTCCTGGCCCCACCTCCTCCTGACCCCATCGGGGACCCCTAACTCAGGTAGATAGGAACTGACACCCCAACACATACCTGGGACACTCCTTAGAGTGGAGGAATCAGAAAGACAAACAGTTGGGATGGGATCTAAGAAACACCCAAACCTGTACGAATTTTTATGAGTGTGTTTGAGCCAAACTGATAACAATCGTTAGGAAGCAAATTCTCAATGGACTGAGAAAATGCTCCAGAAAATGGCAGTTTTACCACTTATTTTATATATCATAATCAAGGGGTGGGGGTTGCATAAAACTCATTGGTGATAGATTAGGGAGGTGGGAGAGGGGACTCTCCGGGAGAAACAGTAAAAGGATAGACATGTACTCGTTTTACATGGGAGGGTGCAGGGTAGTGCACAGGTGACATTTACAGCACCGAGGTGGTGAGGTGGTGTAGGGGAACAGGGAACAATGAGGGGTCTGTGTCTCCTGCTCTGCTGGGAGTTGTGCCCTGAGGGGCCTGGAAAGGGAGATATGACATTCCTTTTTTTTTTTTTTTTTTTTTTTATCTTCACCTGAGGACATTGACATTTTGTTGTTGTTTGTTCAGATAGAGTGGGAGGGAGAGGAGAGAGGGGGAGAGAGAGAGAGAAACATCCACGTGAAAGGGACACATTGAGTGGCTGCCACCCGCACAACCAACCAGGGCCGGGGACAAACTGCAACTGAGGTACGTGCCCTTAGCGGGAACCGAACCCGGGTCTCTCCGGACCGCAGGCCGATGCTCTAACCGCTGGGCCAAACCGGCCAGGGAGAGAACTCTGACATTTCAAAGGTATGTTATCTTAGATGCTCGAAGACATGAGGCTCACTGACGTAAAGACAGAACTTTGTCACGGGAGCTGCAGGCCTAGGAAGTGACTACCCGACTCACGTTTAGGAAGGTTTCTGTTCCGCCATCCTGTGTTACCTTCAGTCTCGGAGTTTCCCCTGTGCAGGCCTCCCCTGAGCTGGTCAGGTTTCGCAGGTGGCTCCTTTTCGTCCCAGAACCGATAGTCCATTGCCCTTTGCCCCCACCAAGTGCTACCTGAGTAATCACTACAGCACTTTTCTCAAACTGCCCGTTTATCACAATCACCTGGGGGCTTCCTCTAACTACAGCCGCCTGGGCCCCACCCCAGACCTTTTGAATCAGAAGTTCCTAGGGTTGAGCCGGGGGCCTGCAATTCAAACCCTCATGGGGGTTTTGATGGGTCTGGAGGCCAGAGAGAGGAGGCCGCGTGCACTCCCCACACATCAGAGCACGAGGTGCTGTGTGGACGGGGCGCAGCGTGGCCAAGTGCGAGCTCACTCAGCCCTCTGACCACTGCCCGCCCGCCTGCAGTGGGGTGAAGACCCTCCCCGCACCGGGTGATGTGGGAACTAAAATGAAGTAACTCGGGGGAAAGGCCTGGCACACGCTGCCACGTTTGATACACGTTTGATGGCTCTAAACACTAGTGACAAGTGCCAGTCCGCAGGCATGCAGGCTTCCCGACCCCCGGCCTTGCTCCAGCTGCTCCTCCCAGGCCCCTGGAATGGACCCCCGTCCGGCAGCAAGGCCCAGCCAGCTTCCGGCTGTGCGGCCCTGCCCTCCGTGTGGCTTGGTCAGGCGGGAGGTGACTGCCACCACTTCCAGGGGAGCCCACTGAACCAGGGGTGCTGTGGACAGAGCGTTTCCAGGTGAAGTAAGTTTGGGATATAGAGAGTTAAAGTTGCATTACTTTGTGTGTTTTTTTTAATTATAGGAGTTTTGGGAGCTTTTAGAATGCGAATGTACAGTTGAGTTTCCAAGAGGGAGGTCGGTAACAGAATTCCCCTAATCTGTTTCACCCCAGATCACCCACGTGCAAAGCATTTTTGGAATCCAGTATTCTGAGTCCTGTGCTTGTGGAAAGCAACCATTCTGTCTCGACAGTGCCCTTCTTTCCTTCTTTTTACCCTTTCTTGGGCATTCAACTTACCTGCTCCACCTCCCTCCTGAGATCCCGCTTCCTTGTTCGACCTCATTCCTAAGCCAAAACATCGATTTCCCCAAATTAGGAGAGGTGTTGGGGACACTGGGCCAGGCCCCAGCGCCGGGCCTGGGGGTGCAGTCAGTGTGTCAGTCCACAGCTCTGCCCGGGCAGACCCAGGCGGGAGAGCAGAGCCGGCCGCGGCACAGAGCCAGGGAGGCGCAAAGAGCTGGCTCGGGAAGCCTTGAGTGCCCCCTGAGATGCCCAGTTGTCAGATGTAACTGAGCTGGGGAGAGGGTCTCTAGGGGCAAAAGAGGCACTAGCAGGCATAGGGGTGGCAGGGAACAGAGGTGGGTTGGTCAGGGACTAGGTAGGCAGTTGGCCAGAGTACCCAGGGGCCTGCTCTCAGGGAGCATGGGGGCCTGGGAGCCTCTTGCAGGAGCCAGGCTGAGTCAAGGATGGAGAAGAAAAAGGTCATCCAAGTCACTTCTTGTTTTTTGGCTCAAGCACAGGGGCTTTTTTTTTTTTTTTAATTAGTTACCCACATTTAAAAGTTGGCAGGCTTCACATAGAAGTCCAGATATTCTGCTTCTCCTGAAAAGCTGAGATCTGGAAACACTGGCTCATAGCATTCCCCTGAAGCAGAGGGGCAGAGGGGGGGTGCTGCTTTACCCTACACCAGCCCCTGGTTTGCTCCTGTCCCCACCCTGCCCACTTGGCTCACATGCTCAGCCCCGGTGGACTTTGGATTTTGCAAACCTGTTTGAAACGTTTGGGCTTGTTTGCTCCATGAGAGATACCTCCTGGGATTTTGATACTTTGGGTTTTTTTTTTTTTTTTTCTAATCCTCATCTAAGGATATTTTTCCATGTATCTTCAGATAGAGTGTGAGGGAGAGAGAGGGAGGGAAAAGGAGAGAGAAACATCGACGTGAGAGAGACACATTGACTGGTTGCCTCCCGCAAGACCCCAACCAGGGCCAGGGACGAACCGCAACCAAGGTATGTGCCTGGGCTGGAATCGAACCCACAACTCATTTGGTCCACGGGCCAATGCTCTACCGCTGAGCCAAACCGGCCAGGGAGATACTTTGGGCATTTTTAAAGAAAAGGTTAATGTATTTCACCAAAGTTTTAATTGTCCCCATTTCCCAAGAACTCGGTGGGTTTCCTTTAAAAAATTTCCCTTTTTAAAAAGGTGAAAACAGACACCCAGAACTGCTTTCCACCATCCCAATAGCAATCTGCACCTGACAGTCCTAAGGCACATTCTTGTTCTTAAAGCTGTTGCATTTAACCTCCTCAGTCACCCTGGGGGGAAGCATTCCACTGTGCAGCCCAATGCAGAGGTCACTGGCCACATTAGACTATTTTAATTAAAATTAATTATTATGTTAGCTGCACCAGCCACAGTGCAGATATATTTTTCCTTCACAGCAAAAAGTTCTATTGGACAGTGTTGAATTTTAAGAATTGTCTTACAGGGAGTGAAACGGGTTCATTGAGGTCATGTGACTAGCTAGTGTTCTGTCCCCCATAGCAATGAGCAGAAGAGGAAGGGGATTTTCTGTTTGCTTGGTTTAATGGGAAAATGTCCTCTCTGCTACCCTTTGGAAATAACATAAAAGAAGAAGAAATTTAAAAAAAAGAAAAGAAAAAGAAAATCCCCACCATCCTACCTAACTCCAAGATAATTACTGTTAATGTTTTGGTCTAATTCTTTCTAGATAGGTAGGTTTTAATATACATACTTAGTTTAACCCACTTGTTTCAATGTAATGATTAATTTTTTTTCTTTATTTATTTTAGAAAGAGAGGAAGGGAGAGGAAGAGAGAGAAACGTCGATGAGAGAGAACATCAATTGGCCGCCTCCTGCATGCCCCCCAATGGGGATCGGGCCCACAACCTGGGCATGTGCCCCGACCAGGGATTGAACCGGTGACCTTTTGGCGCATGGGTCGATGCTCAACCACTGAGCCACACCGGCCGGGCCTGATTAGGTTTTATTTCTCACTTCCCCAACCTTCCCTGCTGGTTTTTGGACTCCGTAAATAGGGCCTTGCCCAGGACGAGGTTTTAGGGAATCCCACTTGGCAAGGGACAGTGGGGAATTACCCGGCTGTCAGTACTTGTGGGAAACTCTGTTCTCCTAAATGACCCCAGAGTTTTCTTTTTCAAACATTGTACAGATTTGGTCAAGGAGGTTGGCCCAGCTGGGTTCAATCTGTGGCTCTCGGAGGAGAGTCCTCTGGTGGTCACAAAGGGCCCCCTTGCTCATCTAGTTCACCACCTCCATTTCACTGATGATGGGGACACTGAGGCCCAGAAGAGGGGGCACATGCCAAGGCCAGCTGGTTGTACCCCAGGGCTCAGGATCAGCCTGCTTGGACTCAAATCCTGGCTCTACCACCCCAGGAGTGGGACTGCAGGCAACATAACCTCTCTGAACCTCAGTTTCTTCATCAGTAAAATGGGTCACCAGTAACACTCACCTAGTAGGGCTGTGGAACTAAAATGAAATAACCCAGTGTGCGGTTTCTTAATAATAATAATAACAATCACTATAGATTATTGAGAGCGTGTTCTATGGTAGGCAGAGTTGTCTGCTTTATAGAATCCTGATGACCTCCAGATGGGGTACTGCTGTATCCCCATCTTGTAGTTAAGACAACAAGGTTCAGCCCGGCTGGTGTGATCAGTGGTTAGAGCATCGGCCCACGTACCCAAGGGTCATGGAATCAATTCCCAGTCAAGAGCATGTGCCTGGGTTGCAGGTTCAATCCGTGGCCCCGGTTGGGGTTCGTGCAGGAGGCAAGCAATCAATGTGTCTCTCACATCTCTCTCTGTCTCTCCGCCCTCTCCCCTCCCTCCTTTCCACTCTCTCTAAAAATCAATGGGAAAAAGATCCTCGGGTGAGGATTAACAAACAAACAACAAAAAACAAGGTTCAGAGAAGCAGTGTGCCTTGGCAGATGTGATAACCGGCCTTCTCAGGGCCTTGACATTCACCGAGGGCCCTCCCATTTATGGCCTCAACAAACCTGTGATGAGGGAAGGGAAGCATTTGTAATTACTCTTTGGTAGATGAGAAAATCCATTCACTTGCCCACAGTCTAAACTAGTCCCTACCTGAGGCTGCAGGCTTCATCACTGCCCAGCGACTTGGCCTTTGGGCTGGCTCCCACCCGCCACCACAGCGAGCGTCTGTAGGGAGGCCAGCCACCAAGGCGTCAGAACACCACCAAGTGGTCTTGCCCTCACATGCCCCTCATCTGGGCTGGGTTTTCCTCTTTCCTGCCCTGACAAGCTTGGCATGCCCTCTCCTGTGGCTGGGGTCCGTGCCTGCCCACCACCAGAAGAGTCAAGGGCCCAGCTTCATGCAAGGCCCTGCCCCAGTGATTGGCAGACTGCTGCCTCTAACCACAACCAACAGGAGAAGGAGTGAGCTGCTCTCCAAAGACAGCCTCCTGAGGGAATGACTGTTTAAAAGAAGGGGTGGGCAGAGGGGAGAGACCTGAAAGAGCACTCCAGGCCCGGGTATTCTGGGCACGGCTTGGCCTGGGCCATATTCTCAGAGCCTAAGCTTCTTCACCTGTAAAATGAAAGATCGGAGGAAGTAACTGGCTCTGAGGTCATTTCCACCCATGACACCCCAGATCCTGCAGGGTGGACCACTCGCCATGCGTGTGTGCTCTGGAAACAGAGCTGGACAGTGTGGTTCCTGCCCTCCTGGGGCTCACAGAGCAGTAGGAGACAGGAAATTAGACACAGTGTGATTAGGTTCCCTTAAAAGTGAGCCTGGAGAGCACTGGAGACAGATTAGGGACCCCAGCACAACCTGAGGGTCGGGAAGGCTTCCTGAAGGAAGTGGCACATGAGTTAAGACCTGCAGGTCTAAGGAGGGTGGATGAACAGGACAGGATTGATGTCCGTTTCAGGGCCTGCCCTCCCTGCCCTGCCCCTGGAGTGAGTCGGCCTCAGTGGAGGGGCCTGGGTGCTGGGGCTCGGGCCATGGAGCCCCGGGAACTAGCATGTGCCTTGACCAATGCCTCCTGGACCTTGGCAGGTGCAGCTGGTCCAAGACCCAGTGACTGGAGGGACCTTCGTGGTGAAGGCAGGTGTCGCGCAGCTCCCTTCCATTCTGCATTCCCCTTGGGTAGCTCTTGGAAACCCCTACCCTCTGGAGAACCCCCTACCCAGAACCTGTATCTGAAGCCTATGCTCCCCCCAAATCCCAAAGTCACTTGTCCTGCCCCTGAGCATGCCCCCAGCCTCCCAGACGCACACACTTACACTGCCTCCTCCCTGGCCGAGAAGGTGGAGAACCTGGATGCCACGGTAGAGAGGGGTGAGGGCCAGGGTAGGAACTGGGGGGAGGCAGTTGCTCCTCAGGGTGGCTCTACTCCTCATCTGACTGTCCCTGAAACGGGGGCTCTGACGTCCTCTAACAGAGCAGCCTTTGGCCTGTCCCCAGCTGATCTGCCTGCCCTGCCCCCTCCCTAGAGCCTGTCCAGGTGTCACATGGCGAGCCGGGAGCGGCTGACCATCATCCCGCATGGTGTCCCCTACATGACCAAGTTGCTGCGGTACTTTGTGAGTGAGGACTCCATCTTCCTGCACCTGGAATATGTGCAAGGTGAGGGGGCCTTTGGGATGCTGTCCTCTTTCATTCCCTTAGACGCCGACACCTAGGGAGGGGTGGCTTGTACCAGGTGTGCAGCACAGACCGCGGGACCCAGCCTTGTTGGCGGACGCCGGCTGGGTCAGGCTGTGTGGGCCTCTGTGGTGCAGAGGGACAGGGACATCCTGGGGAGGATGTTCACATCTGGGCTGGCAAGAAGGCATTTATGCAGATGTCCCCTTTGTCACCACTTCCTCCAGTCTCGGCTCTTTTCATGTTTCTAGTCTGTGCCCATCCCTCGGAGTGGCCACGTGGGGTGGCGGTTCTGAAGGCGTTAGGACAGGAACTGTGCCATGTAGCAGATATTTACTGATTGCCTGTTAGGGTGATTTTTTTTTTTTTTCAATGAGGTACACATTCTAGGTTGTGACATCACAGGTCCATGCCTGGCCTCCTTTTATTTTACTTACATTTCATTATACTGTTCTCTCTCCCTAAAAAAAAACAAATTTTGAATAGGTTTTTATTGATTTTTTAGAGAGAGGGAGAGAGAGAGAGAAATAAACATCCATGTGAGAGAGAAACGTGGATCAGCCGCCTCCTGCACGCCCCCTACTGGGGATCGAGCCCACAACCAGGGCATGTGCCCTGACTGGGAATTGAACTGGCAACTTCTTGGTGCATGGGGTGACACTCCAGCAACTGACCCACCGGCTTGGCGCCAACATTTTAAAAATATATATATATTGAACACTGATAAAAATCACACCCAAATCAAGGACATTAACAATAATTTATATCTGCATAGGGGTTAAGTACCTATTTTGTGCCAGGTTGGAAGGCTGGGTCCTCTTAGGTGAGTGGAGGAAGGAGAGGTCATTCTAGGTTAAGGCTCAGGGAGGCAAGAGCAGAGGTGAGGACCTGGAAGGCAGAGCTCCATGCCCAAGACAGAGGTGGGCAGGATGGGACAGGGACCTGGTGTCCAAGTTCTTCTTCTCCCGCCCCCACGCTCGCCGCTCCCTCTGCATGGCGCAGGAGGCACTCTCTGGTCCCACCTGCTCTCCCAGGCACACCCCCAACCGTCGGGGCTCAGTTCTGGCCCCAGCCTGGAGAAGGTGAAGGCTCAGCTCCACTCCCGCCGCAGCCTGCGGACCCCCACGCTGCTGCCCCCAGACCACACCTGCCGGCAGGACAGAGGGCCCCTGGAGTCTCCTTGGCCTTGTCGAAGCCTTCTCCGAGCCAGGGAGGCCCCATCCATCAGACCCCAGAGAGAGGCTGAAGGTGAACCCTCAGCCAGGACCAGCACGTCCTGCTCCTCGGACCTTCCGATGGCCCCAAATGGTCGCCTGCACCGCCAATCCCAGCGAGGACCTGGCCAGAACTCAGACACCGGGTCCCCTTGGGGGCTCGCTTGGGTTCGAGAGGGGGCTGGCCGAGTGCTGGGAGGCTGTGGCCGAGGCAGAGGGCAGAGCTGTCCCTCAGCGGACAAGGCCAGCCTGGGGTCTGGCGGGGGCGCCTGGAGTGTGCGGGAAGAGCAGGCCAGGCAGTGGGCGGCTGAGCTGCTGCTGGCACTGGAGGCGCTGCACCAGCAGGGGGTGCTGTGTCGGGACCTCAATCCCCGGAACCTGCTCCTGGACCCGGCAGGTAGGTGCCCAGGCCTAGGGGGAGGGGAGTAGGCTGACCTCCCCGACTCCACTGCCCAGGTGGGGGCCCCAAAGCCTCAAGACAGAGAAGGAGTTCCCCGAAGTCAAGGGGGGTGGCGGAGGTCATCTGCTTCTTCCCCTGCCCCCCCCCCCCCCGCCCCCCAGCCATTGCACCCAGGACTCTGCCGGGTCTCCAAGGTTGAGTCTGGGAAATAAGCCCCTTCACCCCTAGGGGTCCAGGGCAGCAGCTCCTAGGAATACCCAGTTGTCTCTGGGCCTCGGGGCCCTATGCCCCTAGGGAGGCCATGCTGAGCGAGGCCCATGGCTCCTGCCTTGTGCCTGTTGGGGGAAGTCGTGGAGTCCCCTCCCCCCTGCCAGCTGCTCAGCGATGACTAACCACAACTTTTTGTCCCCATTCAATCCCCCTGCGCGCACTGGACGGGAAGGTCACATTCGGCTCACGTATTTCGGCCAGTGGTCAGAGGTGGAGCCCCTGTGCTGCAGGGAGGCTGTGGACAACCTCTACAGTGCCCCAGGCAAGAAGGGCGGGCAGGGCCCTGGACCTGGGTGCCTTCGCGTGGGCTGAGGGCAAGGGGATGGCCGTGTCTGGAAAGGAAGAGTAGAGAGGAGACCTGTCTTCTTGTGTTCTTGCTCCCACAGAGGTGGGTGGGATTTCTGAACTGACCGAAGCCTGTGATTGGTGGAGCTTTGGGTCTCTACTGTATGAACTGCTGACTGGAATGGTGAGTAGCTGGGCAGGGTGTGGAGGCCTGGTGGGTGTCACTGATGGCCTGGGCTTAATCCCACGGGCTGTTGGGGCTGAGGCTGCCTGGTTCTCCAAAACCTGGCCATTGGGCCAGGTGTCCTGCCAGCTCAGCTGCCCGCTCCCCAGCGTACTGTCACAGGCCATGAGAGACACGGAGCCACTGCCACCCAGGCCATGGACACACTTAGGACCCCCACCATGCTAGTGGGACTGTCAGTTACGAGAATGAGAGCCGAATTGGGATGGTCAGGGCAGGTTTCTGGAAGATAGCGCCTGGGCCTAGGTCTGGAGGAAAGATTTGACACGGCCCTTCTTCCCTGAAGGGCGCCTGGGCCATCCCCACAGGCTCTTCTCCCCACTGCTCACTTCCCACCCACCACAGCCTCCCGGGCTGTAACCCCCAGGCTTTGGCTGAAGAACAGGAGAGAGGGCCTCCCGGATCCAGGCCAGCAGCTGTCTGTCCAGCCTGGGCCAGCCAAAAGCTCAAAGTTTCCTTTGCAAACACCCTTGCTCAGGATGGCGGCCTCCGCCCTCTGTCCACCCCGATGAGCTCAGCATTGCACCTGGGGCTGGTTAGGCCTGACAGCAAAGGAAAGGCCAAGCTGCATTTAAGCAGGAAATGGCCAGAGCGGATGCAATGTGACCTAAAGTCCAGATCTCTTCAGTCCACCATGACTCCCTCCTGCTTTTGTCCCATAACCCATGGCCTCCGAGAGCTCTGACTGCACACCCCCCCCCCGTGGCTCTCTCCTCAGTCTCCCACCACTTCTCTAGCCTGGGACTTCTGGCCTTCCTCCTGGTCGCTTCTTCCTCCAAACAGACCTTTCTGCTCTCTGCTCTCCAAAGCTGCACCCTTCTGGAGTGCAGAGAGGTCCTGCCTTCTCACCCAGCCCGGCCTGGGCCCTGCGGTAGCATGCCATGGCCTGCTGCCAAATGAGTGGCCCATGGAGATATTTTTTCTGCAAGGAGACAAGTTCTAATACTCTTCCTGAAGTAGCATGCTTGGAGCCAGAGGGACCTGAGTTCAAACTTGGACCTCAGCATCAGTCCCTGCACCTCTCTCAGCTTGCTTCTCGTCTTCCAAATGCAGATTCTCGTATTTCCCGCCAGGGCTGTGGTGGACGTGTGGAGAGTGGTTGTCAGGCCTCTAGCGCAGTCTGGCATACAGTAGATCCAAAGCACAAGGCAGCGATCTGCATCACCGCCACCCCCATGGACTGTGACACGGGAAAGTAAAATCCTGGCTGCCACTGGAATGTACAGCCTTTCCTGGGGTTGTCTCCTCAGAGGCCCCTCATGTGTCTCCCCAGGCCCTGTCCCAGAGCCACCCCTCAGGAATCCAGCCCCACACCCAGCTCCAGCTGCCCGAGTGGCTCAGTCGCCCAGCAGCCTCCCTGCTGACTGAGGTGAGGTCAGCCGACCTGGAGGCTGCGGCTCCTTGCCTGAGGGTGGGCTGGGAGGGTAGAACCCTGTGTGTGAACAAGCGTGCTGCTACTAGATGGCTGGTGTGGGTGCAGGTTACACGTTCCTATATATTGGTGGCCAAACAACACCAATGTTCCCCAAGGTAAAACGGGGGGGGGGTGTTCTATGGGCTGGGCTGATAGGAATGCACCCCGGGGCCACAGTGACAAGTCCCTGGAGGTCAGCCCAGGCCTCGGCAGTGGGGCCAGGAAGACCTGCCAGGCGCTGATTGGGCCTTTCTCCACAGCTACTGCAGTTTGAGCCCAGCAGGCGCCTGGGCACTGGAGTAGGCGGAGTCCACAGACTCAAGTCCCACCCCTTTTTCAGCACTATCCGGTGGAGCAAACTGGTGGGGTAAGGGGTGGAACAGGCTATGGAAGCCGCGGGACTGGTCTAGGTCTTCTCTCTTCGCCTGTCATCCTGTCACCCCGAGCTGGCCCCTCTAATCAGTGGCAAAGAATGCAGGTCAGCTGCCTTTCCTGCTCGGCCCCTCCCTTGGGCCTCAGAAGTAATCATCGCCACAGCCCAGGAGAGGCCGAGGGAGTCTCTCAGCCAGCTCTTGGAGAAACTCTTTCTAGTCACTGCTGAGGGGAGGGGCAGGACAGATCTCACCCTGCAAGGCAGCTTGGACTCCTCCACCCATCAGTTAGCAGATACTTGTTGAGTGTACACCCTGAACCTTGAACACAGACCTACTCCATTAAAGGGTGCCTTCTGTTACATTAGCTCTGAACTACTGACTACCATGCTGAGCCAACCTCGAGGTTTTGCTACTCTCTACCTGCCATGTTGTGCCCCACTTGGGACATCTCTGAAGACTCGTCTCAGGATCCTGGTCCACTGGCTTAGTGGATTCAAACCAGGGCTGCCTGGCTGATATCTTAGCCATGTAACTAGTGGCCTCTTCTATCAGAGACTACTCCTGCAGGGGGTGGGGAGGCCAGGGAAGCTGGGAAGAAGGCTGTAGTGGGCATGGAGTGAGGTGGGGGGTGGGGTGATCCACTCCCCTCCTGACCACACCCCCTATCTTGACATTTCAGACTTTGAAGAGCAAAAGAGTGGGGGAGGAAAATGAGGGTGAGGAGAGGAGAGGGAGGAATGCACACCTTTGCCAATCAGAGCAATTTTGGAAGCAGAATAAAGAGCTCCCCTTCCTAGCTAGCCCACCCAGGTGGAGAGAAGGGGGAGCCTGACCCACGGGTCTAAGAGACCACAATTCAGCCTCCAGGCTGAAGCTACTAAGACAAGTTGAATCCATTAGGATTCCCTTCTCAGACATTTGTCCTGTTTACCATTTTGCATTTTAGTCTTAGGGTCCACTCAATTCATGGCCTACTGTGACTTCATTCCCTTTTGAAATGAATCCCAAAACACAGATTGCCCAAGCGTTTAGCCAGAAGCAAGATGTTTCTGGTGTCTGAAGAGCTGGGTGAGTAGTTACCCCCAAATACAATCCCCTCCTCAGGTTTGGGGGCCATCTTTTTCCTCTCAGGACTCACCCTGTCACTGGGGTGTGGCACCTAAGAAACGTCCACCAGACCTCTGCCCCCAACTGCTTGCCTCCAGTGTCTGCAATACCACCAGGTGGCGCCCCTGACACTAATCTCCAGTCTGACTGTGAAGGTCCAACTCTAACTCCTGGATAGAGACCTGTATTATGAGGGAGGCTGGAGGAACTCTGGGGCAGAAGGGATATAGGGAAGCACAGCCTGGTATGGTCCTGGTTTCTCTTGGGCTTGCCCATACCCCTTTACCCTTAATAAAGCCTGATGTTGCCTATGGTGTTCTTTTTTTGTTTTTTTTTGGTACGTACCCCTAGCGAGAACTGAACCCAGGACTCTCTGGTCCGCAGGCCGACGTTCCAACCGCTGAGCCAAACCAGCCAGGGCGCCTCTGGTGTTCTTGCCTCATTAATGCAATAAGAGTCACCCTGTCGGGAGGGGGAGACTAGAAAGATCCCTCAGGAAGCTCCTTGATAGTCAACAGTGAGCTTGGAATCTACTGGGAAGCAAGAGGCAGGGCTGGTGGTGGACCCGAATGCTAGCCTGTGCCCTGCAGAGCAGCTTTGAACCCAAGGGGAAATGCTGGCATGTAGGGGTCACTGGGCTTTGTGGGAAATAAAAGACAAGACTTGAAAGAGGGTCATGCCTGGTCAGAGCCTAGTGGAGCCTGCTCACAAGTCTGCGTCCCTTATGCCACACTCCCTAAGTCAGGCCAGACCACCTCCAACCACTGCTGCATGAAGTATCAGTCGCTTCTGAAACTTCTGGGCCTCATCTACCCAATAAACACTGTACATGTGGTCCTGTGCTAGGCTCTGAGTTTTGAATAATGTGGTCCCAACCCTTATGGGACTTACAGTCTACCTCCTTTTTAAAAAATATATATTTTTTAGAGAGGGAGAGGAAGAGAGATAGAAACATCAATTGGCCACCTCTTGCACACCCCCTACTGGGGATCGAGTCCACAACCTGGGCATATGCCTGACCAGGAACTGAACCAGCGACCAACCTATCATCAGTGCATGGGACAACGCTCAATCCACTGAGCCACACTGGCTGGGCGGTCTACCTCCTTTTGATAAAATACAGATGTCTCCTTTGTAGGTTTACTAGAGAAATTAAAGCTTCTAGCACCATGTACTGAACCTAATAGAAAACTCTGAAATTCACTGAACCCAACTTTTTTTTCTATCTACTAACTCTAATGCTACCCTCTGGGAGCCACTCTTCCTGGGACAGACCTCCACACAGACATGGCGTCACTGGAAGCAAGACCAGCAGGTATGGACTGTGTGGAAAGACCAGATGGTATTTAAGCCTGGAAACCATCATGCCTGTCACCTGAAGTCAGTCGAGGTAAGTTCCCAAGTGTCCCCTCTCCTTCACAGACACTGCTCCCAGGAGTGGTAATCTACCCTCATTTGTCCTTACTGACCTTGAGCCTCTTAGTACAACCTGGTAATCAAGTACAAGATGTGAAATTTTAAGCGTCGCCCCCTCTCCCCAATCCACTCCAGTAATGCAAGCTCCACAAACATGCGAGTGTGTTGGCATCTGTAGGGGCTTCACCAAGGTGGGAACAGTCTCTCCCCAAGAGCACAGCTTGCCAGGCTCTAGTTCACTGAGAGGCCAGGGCACTGTCCTGGCTGGCTGACAGCCACAGTTCCTTTTTCTGTCAAATTCATAGTGTTAACTTATTTCAAAAGTCTGAGATGTCACAGAGTAACCAAAGGGACATTATGTGGCTTTCAATGCCAACAACAATCAGTGCTGGAGACTTACACAACCTCAGTCATCGAAAGGAACACAGCAGCAGCAGGAACACTGTTTGAGAACATTTGCCCTTTAATTTGCATTTAAAATCAGTTTCTTTAAATATTTTAGTTACGAGTTCTGAATAGTGAAGACATAGATGCTGCAGGCACTCAGTACTGGCTCCCATCCCTTCCCCCCACCCCATCCCCCAGGCCTTGCCTCTTTGCTCCAGATACAAATGGGCACACTGCACTAAATGGCTCCCGGTGTCTAGTGTCAGCAGCCTCAGGCCTGAATGCAGTTGGATTCAAAGCAATGAAGCCTGGTAGCCTTCATGACAAGACGTGCACCTTTAACCATGTTCCAAGGAATCCAATGATTGTACCCAGACCCAACAGGCAGTACCTCAGAGTTGACACGGGTCATTTCCCCCTGTGTACTAGCATCTTGGGGCTAGTTTCCACCACAGTCCATCCTCCCCCAGACCTGTGCTCTGCAGAGGAAGAGCTAAGGCCCCACTTCCCAAGGGACAAGATACAGGAAGGAACAGAACTGCTTCTTCAGTCCACGTGCTTAAACCAATGGAATTTAAAAGCTCAAGTCACTCTGAACCAGTCCACAGGAAGCCTCCCTCCCCCCACTCTCTACCAGGCTCGTCATCCTCCAATGCCAAGATGTGCTAGAATCTGCTCTAGATGAGAACAATGTGCTAGATGATTCCTAGCAACCTGGAAAGGCTGGCACCACAGCTATGCGTGATTGTGCAAGAATGGGTCTTCCTGGTATGAGGCTGTGGCAGCGAGAGTGAGGGCAGGCCTGGGTTCTGTTCCCTTGTTTACAACTTATGACCTCAGAGGGAATCTTTCCTCTCCCCCTCAACACTGCCAACACCCCTCCTATCCACAGCCCCTGGCCTGTGCTTCCCGCAAGAGGTAGAAGAGGCATCTTGAAGTCAATGACAGCTGAGAACAAAGGTGCACTTAAGAAGCAAAGCAGCACCTCTTGGCCTGTGGTCAATACCTCCACACAGGTGGACTCGAATGAGAATGTGCACAGCCAGGACAGAAGCTGCTCCGAGCCTGGGAGGCACAGCACCCTCCTAGGCAGCTCTGGAGAATACACTTTCAAAAGACTGAAATTTAATCACATGGTCCCCAGTGGTTTCCCTATAGCATACTGGCACAGGGGAGAAGCAAAATTATCTCAGCAGTGGGCTAATGGAAGAAAGGCAGGAATATTAATGAGCATCCGTGAAGGCTCTCTCTCTCCCTCAAGCCTAAGGAAATAAGATATTCGAGTGTTGGGAAGGGGTGGGGGGAGGTTCAGAGAGGGAGAGAGCCTGATAGGAACACCAAGAAAGACCTGCGACTGCTGGTTACATAGTGCCCTGGCTTCTTTGCTTGAGGCCAACAGCATGTGCCTGTCTGTCACCAGGCTAATCCGGGACCCACATGGGGGCAGGGAGAAGACTGGTTTTCAGTTCCTGCGTGGTCAATGTGCTGGGTGTGTGACTTCCTCCTAAAGGTCCAGGAGGAGGACTCTGGGATCCTCTACTGCTGCCTTGATTTTGCGAAGGAAAGTCACAGCCTCTCTGCCATCAATTAGCCGGTGATCATAGGTCAGTGCCACAAACATCATGGGCCGCACTTCCACCTACAGAGAGGAGAGGTTTAGGAATTTGTCTGTAGTAGAGCAGAAAATCCCGCTGAAGTGGGGAGATGAGAAAAGCACAGTACACAGCCAAGTTCCCAGTTCCTTTCCTACCGGTGTTGCCTGTCTAGAGACAGTGTTTTCAAAGACTAAGCCTTATCCTTAGTACAAAGGTCCCCCTCTTCCCACACTCAGAAACAAAGCTTCCCCAAGAAAATAGGTGTCTCCTCACAACTGCCTTTTTATTTTTTTGTTTGTTTTTTGTTCAGATACAGTGGAGGGCAGGGAGGGGGAGGGGGAGGGAGAGAGAGAGAGAGAGAGAGAGAGAGGGAGAGAGAAACTATGTGAAAGGGACACATCGAGTGGCTGCCACCCACATGACCCAACCAGGGCCGGGGACAAATTGCAACCGAGGTACGTGCCCTTAGCGGGAACCGAACCCGGGTCTCTTTGGACCGCAGGCCGATGCTCTGACCGCTG